AGGGTCTCGCTATGCAGTTCAGGCTGGCCTTGAGCTCCCTTTGTAGCCCAGGCTGGTCTCTAACTCGCAAGATCCTCCTGCCTCAGCCTCCTGAGTAATGGGATTATAGGCGTGCACCACCACACCTGGCCTGACTCAGCCTTCAAACTGGAGGTTGACTCCATGGCTTGTGTGGCTCACAGAACTCAGAGAGCTGAGTGGCTTGCTGTATAAGGGCTGCAGATGAAGAGGCCGGTGGGGTGAGATTAGAAAGGGCCCTGCATGCACGAGATGCTGGCCCCGTGGCGTTGGGGTTGGGCACCCTCCTGGCCTGTGAATTTGTTCACCAGCCCAGAAGCTTTGCTCCATACTTTCGGGATTTCTATGAACTGTGATTGACATCAACTCAGTCTGTAGCCCCTCTCCTCCCTAGAGGTTGAGGGTGGGGTAGGCTGAAACTTCACATCTTCTAATCACAGCCCTGTGTTTCTTGTGACCAGCCCCTAACCAGGAACCCACGAAAAGCTGCTTATAGAATAAGAGACTCTAATACCCTGCAACTTTCAAGAGGTTTATATGTGTGCCAGGACCAGGTCAAAGACCAGACTTCAGAACAAAGTCTGCTCCTAGCATCCTTGGCACTTAGGAAATTATGAGGAACTCTGTGTGAGGAAGTAGGAGCAGATGACCTGTCTGTCTGTCTGTCATTATTCTTTCATACTGATGTCATCACAAAACCTACACATGTTTATAGCTGCTTTGTAAGTAGACAATTGGAAATGGTCAAGATGACCTCCAGTGGGTGATTGGTTAAGGAATTCTAGTCCACAGACTATTACTCACCAGTGAAAAATGACAAATATTGCTCCAAATAGCAACCTGGTTAGATCTACAGAGACTTCTTACAGAAAAACACTGATTCTGTAAGGTTGCATAAGTATACCTCCATTTATGCAGCAGTCTTGATATAAGATTATAGAGAAGGAGAACAAATCAGTGGTTGTTAGGAGGAAGAAAAGTGAGGGGGACAGGAAGGTGGATGGGACTTTAAAGGGGCTGCATGAGGCAGCCCTGTGGTGATGGGAGGTTCTGTATCTTGACTGCCTCAGCCTTGCCCTGGTTGTCAGACTGTGTTACAGTTTGGCACGATGTTACCCTTGGAGGAATTGGGTAAAGGATATTATTTCTTTTTTTTTTTTGGTTTTTCTCCGGTACCGGGAACCGAACTCACGACACTTGCATGTGGATCTGACTCTAATTTTCCATTACCTGAAAATAAAATGGCTAATTGAAAAAATGATAGCTGAATGTAATTTTTTAAAAATTGAAGTACTGGGGCTGGGGATTTAGCTCAGTGGCACAGTGCCTGCCTGGCAAGCGCAAGGTTGTGAGTTCGACTCCTGGTACCGGAAGGAAAAAAAAAAACAAAAAAATAAAAATTGAAGTACTACAGAACAGAGCTTCAGGGAAAATGAACCTTCCTGCTCCTGCAGCGCCTTCCTCCAGGCAGGCTCTGCTGCGAGGGACCCAATGTTTCAGAATTCTGAATGCTTCAGAATTGGGATGCTGCTTAAATAACACAGACAGAGTTAAGGCTCTGCAGCTGTCCGGTTGTCCTTGCTGTGGCAGTGTGTCCCTGTCCCCCACATGGGATCCCTGTCCCAAAAGGGACACAGCCGGTGAGGGTTTGGGACACAGCCCTGCCCAGCATGTAACGACCTGTGTAAACTTGTGACAGGAATCGAGCCCACTGGAAACATGGTGAAGCAGCCGGCCAAGTTCACCGTGGACACCATCAGCGCCGGGCAGGGGGAGGTGATGGTGTTTATTGAGGACCCAGAAGGAAACAAAGAAGAGGTATGTGGAAGATGCATGCTCCCTGGAGCTTATGGGGTTTGTAGCAGGGCTGGGGATGGAGCCTCCATTTCCTTCCCTGTAGGTTACAACCATGGCGATCTTTCCAAGAGGACACCGAGGCTTAGAGTGGTTAAAATAACTTGCCCGAGAGCGGTGCCTTGAAACACACTGTAAATTGCTTCCGAAGAATACAAGGGCGAGTAAAGTAGAGCTCACTTTGGATTCAGCCAAGGCCTTGTCAGTGGTAGAGACTGGCTTGTCATGGCCTGCTCTCTTCTCACTGGTCATTTTTGGCTCTTTCCTTGGGGCTGTTGTACATGCTCTTCTTTCTGTTCATATTTTCTTATGACCGTGTTTCATTCCCAGTGCTTAGCACCATTTGAAATGCTAAGTTTACTGATACATTTTCTGTTTTCCCCTCTGGGGCAGGGCTTGTGCTCAATTTGGTCATTATTTTGTTTTTGATACTTAACACTGCATCCCCTTCATAAGTACCCTCTTCCCCACTGTGGAGACAGGGTGGTGCTATGTAGCTCAGGCTGGCCTTGAGTATATAGCCCAGGCTAGGCTCCAACTTGTGCTCCTCCTGCCTCAGCCTCCAAACTGCCAGAATTATATTGTGCACCACACGCCTGGCTCTCAAACTTTGAATAACTTCGGAGCCAGTAAACGTTTAAGTCATTCGCTTCATTTCATGTTCCGTCATTAACAGGGTGCTAGTCCTGGTGGTGACAGTCCTGACTCTGGGCCGGGTGGCTCGTTGCTATGACTTCAGGCTGTGGCTCTCCTGGACCCTCTACAGGGCAGGAAACAGCACCCCCGGTTCTGTCCCGGGAGCTTGCTGCAGGCCCGTGGCTGACGCAGCATTCCTCACTCACACTTGGCACCTTCTCTAACCATTGTACATCTTCCTTTCCAGGCACAGGTGACCCCTGACAGCGACAGGAACAAGACATATTCTGTGGAGTATGTGCCCAAGGTCACCGGGCTGCACAAGGTAAGATGAGTCTCATGGCTTAGACACTCTTTTCCCTTGTTTGTAGAAGAGGGAGATCATAGGACGAAGAGTGGGCTGCTTCTTCCTAAGTTTTGGACCTCTCATATACTAGGCAAGTACTCTACACTGAGCTATGCCCAAGCCCAAAACAGTGGTTTTCTTAAGTTAACGTCTTTTTAAAATATCCATTCTCATTGTAGAAAATTTCAAATCTGTATGAGTCAGACTTGAGAATTGGCTCATAAACTCCTCCGTTTAAATCCCAGCAGCAGGGGCTGGGGATTTAGCTCAGTGGCAAAAGCGCCTGCCTGGCAAGCGCAAGGTCGTGAGTTCGGTTCCCGGTACCGGAGAAAAACCAAAAAAAAAGAAAGAGCAAAGACACAGGAACAACCTAAATGCCTATTG